TTTTTTTTTTTACAGAAAATTCCTCTTCAAAAATTGGTTGATTTAAATTGGTTTTCCCAGATTGAAAGTTTCAGATTTCCATTTGATCTTCATTACTTAGAAAGGAGGGGCAAAAAAGAAATGATAAAATATCGTAAGAAAACGAATCACTCCTTTCCCCCTTCCCACCTTCTTTATCAGAAAAAATGACTACTTTGGTCAGATTGTTCTTTCAAACTGAAATAAATGTGAAGCCATCTTCTTAAATTGGCAGAACTATAACTGAGAAACTGGACTGTATAAATAAATAAATAAATATTTCTGCACAGTGAAGGAAACAATCAACAAAACTAAAAGGCAGCCTATGGAATGGAATAAGGTATTTACACATGAGATATCTTATAAGGAGTTAGTATCCTAAATCTATACAGAATTTATCAAACTGGGGGTGGCTGGGTGGCTCAGTAGGTTAAGTGTTTGACTTTGGCTCGGGTCATGATGTCACGGTTCATGAGTTCAAGACCCACATCAGGCTCTCTGCTGTCAGTGCAGAGCCTGTTGGGGATCCTCTGTCCTCCCCCTCTCTTTACCCCTCCCCCTCTTACACGTGTGCTCTCTTTCTCTCAAAAATAAATAAAAGCATTTAGAAAACAAAAATTAAAAAAAAGAATTTATCATACTTAACACCCAAAAAAACAAATAATCCAGTGAAGAATGGGAAGACAAGAATAGACACTTTTCCAAAGAAGACACCCAGATGGCTAACAGACACATGAAGAGATGCTTCACATCACACATAATCAGGGAAATGCAAATCAAAACCATGAGGAGATATCACTTCACACCTGTCAGAATGGCTGAAATTAACAACACAGGAAACAACAGATGTCGGTGAGGATGTGGAGAAAGGGGAACCTTCTCACACTGTTGGTGGAAAGTGGACAACAGCATGGAGGTTCCTCAGAATTAAAAACAGAACTACCCTATGACCCACAATTGCACTACTAGGTATACCCAAAGGATACAAAAATACAGTTTTGAAGGGGTACATGCACCCCGATGTTTACAGCAGCATTATCAACAACATCCAAACTATGCAAAGGGCCCAAATGTCCATCAACTGATGAATGGATAAAGGGGATGTGGTGTGGGTGTGTGTGTGTGTGTGTGTGTGTGTGTGTGTGCGTGCGTGTGTGTGTGTAATGGAATATTACTCAGCCATCAAAAAGAATGAAATCTTGCCTTGCAATCATGTAAATGAAGCTAGAGTGTATTACGCTAAGCAAAGTAAGTCAACGACAAATACCACATGATTTCACTCATGTGGAATTTAAGAAATAAAACAGATGAACACATGGAAAGGGGAAAAAAAAAGACAGAAGGAAGCAGACCATAAGAGACTCTTAATGATAGAGAACAAACTGAGGGTTGATGGAGGGAAATGGATGGGGGATGGGCTAGATAGTGCTGGGCACTGAGGAGGGCACTTGTTGGAATGAGCCCTCAGTGTTGTATGTAAGTGATGAATCACTAAATTCTACTCCTGAAACCAATACTGCACTATATGTTCTGTATGTTAACTAACTAGAATTTAAAGAAAAATCTGAAAAAAGAATAAAATAAATAAACAAAAGGAGGAAGAAAGTCCTCTCTCAGACATCTGAAGACAACTTTTGGAGATGTATGTCTTACCAATGTCCTCACGTACCTGGCGTGTTTGACATAATACTGCCCTAGCTTTACATGAAGTATTTCTTTAAAGTGCTTTCAAACGTGTGCCATTTATCTCCATAGCACTTCTGTGAGAAAGCTTCCAGCAGATAACTACTCTCTCCACCTCACAGATGAGAAAACTAAAGGTGTGAGTCATTACAAGATTAACCCAGGAAACTGGTAGTCAGACTAGGATAAAGAATAGAACCGATCCCCAGGCCAGAGATCTGGTCATGTTTTCTTATGTTAAAAGTAACCACAGAAGACACAGAGGGTCCTGTCTATACAGGAATGCTCTGCATGACTGAAGATTTCCATGAAGTCTGCTCCTAGCAACTTAAATATTCCCATAAGATGGTAACTCAGGGCACATCTTCTTGAACGTTTGCTGTTAAAACCAACTTTTTCAGGGGGAAAGATAGTCACATGTGCTGTATTTATTATGCATGTAATTAAAACAACTTTGTAAGAGTTAAGGATAAGGGTAACCCTACTTTTGATGTCTCGCTTAGGAGATATTTTTTAAGCAAGGCTCAACTTTTATGAAGAACAGGAATACAAAAAAACAAGTGGATTAAGAAACTAGCATGCATACATTTGGTAGTTTTATAGAGACCTCTTAAATACAATTTTTGGCTTGTTCTCTGTGGACCCAGAACTATACTATCAACCCTAATACTTGAGTGGGCTATCACATAATATCCTTATGATCATTTAATCTTATCACTCTGCTCCCTAACAACCCAAATGACATGAACAGAAAAAATAAATAAATAAAAAACTCAGCACAACAGCTCCTTAAAAAAAATAAACCCACTTGAATAAAAAAGTTGGTAGAGTCTTTCCCAGAAAACATTACAGCAGTTCTCAAAGTGTACTCCCCAGACCAGCTGAATCAGTTAGAAATGCAGGCCTCATCCCAAAATAACTGAACTGGAAATTCTGGGCTGGGGCCCAACTATTTGTGTTTTAACAGCCCTGCCGGGGACTCTGATCTATGCTAAAATTTGAGAACCACTGTTCTGAAGGAAGGGTCGGCAATATTTCGAGCAGTTCACCTGATGACAGCTTGATGGGGAAAGTGACCCCACCACAGAATACCAGTTCACGCCTCTTACCTCCCGCGGCTCTCCAGCTGCCTTCTCCCTCGCTGTGCTGTCCCTGTGTGGAGAATGTGTCACCTGGGTAACATTCTGCTGCTCTGTTTGTTCTGGTTTGCGAAGGCTTGGGATCCGATTCAAAGTATCTTTCAATTGTTTATACTCTGCAACTTGTGTCTGTGTATAAATTGCACAATTGGATGCAAATTGTACAATTTGAGGAGGGAAAGAGATACATTGTTCATGGATGGACATTAGGGTTCACTGGAAGACTAGACTAAAATATTATACCGAAGTACAAATTAGGAAAAATATGCAGATTATTTCCATGCATTAGCTATTCTTACTTGGAGAAGCTTAACCATTTTTAAGCACATGCAAATGAGAATTAGACATAAAGGGAGCAGAGAAAAAATATCTAAGACAGATGTTAGTTTCTCATGCTATGTTAAACAGTCAGAATTTTTATAAATAACTTCCTAGTATAAATATCATTATTAAAAGACCGTTTGCAATCAGTTTTACAAGCATTAAAAAATCTGTTTAAAAATTCACATAATTATATAAATACAAGTGCAGATATCTTTTACCAATATGGTCTAAGTAATGTTTTTCAGTGGAAAGGAATCATAAGCTTAAAATAAGCAACTATATAGATATACATATAAAAACATTAGCATATATATATGTATATATATATAATCGCTCAGACCACACCCTTCTGCCCATCAGCCTGTGCTCAAATACGGTCCCTTACTTTCCAGAATGCTTACGGTATTGTGCTCTGAAGATTTAGAAAAGGAATAGCATAGGCATGAAATGAGCCTAGATTTTTATTCCTCAGCTGTGAACCTTTCTTCTAAGGTGATAAAGGCACTACTGTAAGTATTAAACTACAATATACTCTTATAGCTGTGTCTGTGTATATGTGGTGGTGGTCTGTATGTGTGTGTGCATGTGCAATATTTTTAACACAAGGAACTAGAAAGGCAGAAGAAAAATCAAATACCTTAACTAAGAAAATCAAGAGACACTGCTCATACTTAGCTCATCACATACACCAGCACTGTTATCCCAAAACAGAGATGCTGTGTGTGTAAACACACACCCACGTAAACACAGACAGAGAACACAGCAATCTTTTCTGAACAAGTTTCCCAGCCAGTGTGCACAGTAGAGCAGGTGAGTGGAGGTGGGAGTCCAGCCGGCACCCCACTGCCCCAGCCGTGCACCCTGGCGTAGTGCTCTTTCACCCCAACGAAGAGGGGCCTTTTGAGTTTTTTTTTTCCAATTCACACAAAGGTGAAGAAGTTTTCTCACTAAATCTATCTCAGGGGAGCGCTTCCTTATAATTTGTACAAAGCTATGCCATATGGCTAATGATGGCCCTTATCCCAGAAATCTATCAAAACATTTGCAAACCAACTTTGGAGGTCAAAGGAAAAAAAAAAAAAAAAGACATCCACATAGTGATACTTTTAATAAATATTTCTCCTTTCTCCTCCTCCTAGATACATATTTGAAAGCAGTAATGCTGCAGCTGTCAAATATTAGTGTGCACTGAGAATAATGGAAGGATCATGTTAAAAATGCAGTCTCCTGAGCCCCCAGTCTAGAAATTATGACTCGACCGGGTGTGGGGCAAGGCCCATGGAACTGTGAAGAGGGAAAGTCTCCAAAAATGCCTGCTTACAAGTTACACGTGACCGTGACGTCCGCAGGCCCTAAACTTGAAGCTCAGATCTGGTCTGGCCACTGATCTTGGGCCAGCTATTTCATTTCTCTTTGACCTCACTTTATTTAGCTACAAAAAGGACACAATGTAATAACTCAGTAGACTGTAAATATTAAATAAAATCCTGTACAGAAGTTCTTATGAAGATCCCTGGCAAACTGTAAACTCAAATTCTATTCTATTCTTGCTTTCTCTGCACTCAACTACATTTAAAAATCAGGTTGTCAAGACCCGGTCTGGTAAGATAATTTACGTAAGACATGTAGGTGCCTGCAGCGGTATTTACTTTCTAAGGAGAGCCAGGGAAAGTACTACTATGGGGATCAGAGGGGGGACTCTAAGTGCTGCACCTAGTTCTGGCATAATGATTTAGGGGGTGGGGGTGGGGCGGGTGGGCAGGAGAACTGCAGCCCCCCGTCAAAGGAGCAGAAAAGATTTTTAAAGAAATAGAATATGATACATAAGCTACATAAAAATATTTTTTTCTACTACAAAATCCTGTCCATAACACTCCCAGCAAGCTTACTACGCAATTTGGTTTTGGTCATTTGTAAAATGCATTTTTTACTTACATTTCTCTGGATTTTCAAATTGTTGCTTAGCCTAATGTCTGTGGCCATGATAGCACACAGAATACTCAAATTGGTTTGTCATGTTTTTCAGCATGAAAAACAGCCTCAAATAAATTCCTGGTAAAAATTTTATAAAGAAAGTTTTGAATGAAATAATCTCCCAAAGTCAATTTGATTTGTACACATGTGAAGAGTTACCACACAGCTACAGTTTCAGAGGGAGATACTCAATGACTACCTTGAAAAGGAGTCCCACAAATGCAGATGCTATAGTCTCTAAGACGGGCCAGGGCCCAGCATATTACCTTTCTTATAATTTTATAAAGACAAGAAGTAACACATAGTCTCCTGAATTGGACAGATAGTTGGTGTTCCTCTTAATTCTTCCAACAGAAAAAAAAGTGCAGACCCAGTGACTAAGCTAGCCATTTCTACTGGTTTGCTTCTACTAGAAAGCTGTAAATCAGTGTGGTACTGCCTTAAAAAGCTCTCCGACACTTGTATTTGTTCGTTTGTTCATTCAGGAAATATCCACTACAGGCCCGCTTTGTGCCAGGGACTGTTCGAGGCTTTGAACAAATGGACCTTACGACTCTTGTTTTCCTTCTCCACTGACATGAGATCTCTTATTTCCTGTTAATTTGACCAACAATTCATAAGCCTAGTCCTAAAAGGAGTGTCTGTAGGCTGGAAAGCAGAAGTGAGGGAGGGAAGGATGGAAGAAAAAGTCTGACAATTATTTATTTAGGTAGCTACCATCATAAAATCCTATAGATCCCACAGGAAGAGTCATCAAAAGGGCGGAGAGCGGCAGAAGACCAGATACAAGGGATGATTTCTGTAGTTTAAACAAGTATTAGACCACTGCATGTAGGGGCTGCTGAAGAGTAGAGATAGTCATAGGTACCACACTACCAGTGCAAAAAATCATCATCATCATCATCATCATCATCATCATCATCATCAAAGGCTTATTTAATATTCTCTTGATTGAATTTTGAAAGCATGCAGGATCCTCAGGATCAGGAGAGCTCTGTCCTAAGGAACTTACTGAAGATTGGCTTGTGAGAGACTACATGCATAAGGAATTTGGAAAGGTTAAGCAGACTGTAACAAGAACCAATAGAGGCTGCTACCCTGCTAACCTGCGCAGCAGCTAGTGCACTCTTGTGGTCTTCCAAAGTCACTACAAGTTGTTCGTGCTCGGAGAGTAAATTCTTATGCTGTTGCTACACAAAAAAGAATTTTACATGTTGACATTTAACATTCTAAGACAACTTCTGCTTTGGCTGACAGCGGAATGGGCACCCACATGCAGCTTGCCTGCCTGGCTGCTTGTTGTTCTCATAGCATTTGCTAAGTTCAAAAATCATCGTAGAGAGAAGATTCTATGAATGTAGTATTCTGAAACCGACAATGTGCTACCTCAACGTCATAATCACTAATCGCTTCTCGGCCTTTTGGCTAAGATCAAGTGTGGTATCAATATCATAATCACGATGAAATCAAAATCAAAGGAACATCTCATTATTAATAAAACTTGGGAAACACAAAGCTTATTAAAATGCAACCATCTAGCAAAAGAATCATTTCAGTACGAACGAAAATGCATTTTCAGACCATCCTTTAGCTCACGATGCAGAAGTGATAAAAGTACTGGGCACACTCCAGTTTACGCAAAGCCCAAAACAACAATGTGGATTTGTAATGCAGGTCAATTAGGGAATAACATCTAAAGACATTCTGCAAAGTAAAGCAGGCCAATAGTAAACAGTCAAATGCTCAGTTCTGTTTTACCTTGACGTCTTGAAGCTGTGTGTGCATGTCTTGGTGCGCTTTCCTTAGTTGTCTATTCTCTTCTCTCAAATTGTACACGGTTTCTATTTTTGAAAAAGAAAATAGTGCCTAAAGCCTTGAGATTTTTCTGGCTTTTGATTCCATTAGTTTCATACCTGAAACTTCACATAACTATTTTTAGGATTTGTTTTTAACTTTGATAGTATAATAGGCCAAATCAACCAAAATTATATCATTTGGGGATGTGGCATGGGTTCAGCCGGACATTCCAAAACAATCTGGTTTGATAGTTTAAATACTTTTAAAGAAGCTACACAGTGTAGAAGTTAAGGAGTTGTAATTACTCAGTAGTTAAAAAAATGACGTATTTCTGTTAATAGGCAAGTCCTTAGGAATAAAATGTAATGGGCAGGAACAGTATAAGATTTGAGGCTCTCCACAAATTAAAAAGAAAGTTATCAAAAAGTACAAATCCTCCTTCTATAGCATGAATAAGTTCCACAGACCCCAAAGGGTATTTCAATTACAAAGGCAACTCAAGAAATAAGAGACAGAGAAAAATCCCACTTACCTGTTGAAAAATTCTACATGTATTTTCTTTCCCCTACCATTGAGTTCTTGACTGATGCAAATTCTCCCACCGATAACGAAAGGACAGTTTTCTCCAGGGCTATAATGTGAGACCGTGGCTGTCCAAGTAAAGTCCTATAATCTCTCCAATCTCAAGCCTACTGTTCAGGGAACAGCTTCAGTGACTTAAAGATTCCAGGCCCAGCCCTCTTACCCTCCTGGTGATTTTCTCACTTTCACTATATCTGGGCATTAGATGCTATGAACTGTTAGCTCCAGGGCTGAATCTAACTCACATGAGTTTTTTCTTTTTTTTTTTCTCTCTTTTTTTTTTTTTTTGGCCCCTGCAGTGTTGACCTATGCAGAGTGTTCCACATTTGAACAGTTGTCACCCCTTAAAAATCAAGAATCTGGGTCTACTAATATTTGGCAACATGAGGCCAAATCTCATGTGACAATACTCAGCAGAAGTTGAATGGTGACAGGATGACAATATAATTCATTTTTCCATGGGAGGTACCTTTGAAAGTGAAAGGGGATGCTGTTAATAACAACGCTGAGACAGCAGCTGTTAAATCTGCACATTGCTGGGCAAACCACCCGAGTGGCAGACAAAACCCTAACTCTGCAGTGTGGCACCCAGCGCTGAAGAAAGTGCCCATCACCATCTCTCACCACATTTTCTGTCCACTTTTACTCCTATATAGTCCCTGCCTAACCCCCTGAGCTTTGGACTGGTGACTGGGTTTAGGGGAGAGATCAAGAACAGGGTGGGAAGGATTTCGACTCAAAGGTCAAAACAGGACACCACTGGCAATCCAAGGACACCCTAAATGTGTCGTTGGCTGGATGGGGGCTTCAGTAGACACACACGCATACACACATGCACATGAAAACATGCATATACACGCCTACATGCATGCACACACACAACACCCAACCCACTAGCTTATAAAGGAGTTTTGGATTATAAACTTAAGGCAGTTGCCTCTGTACTTTAACTGTATTGACTTGAGTTATTTAATTTTATTAAGCCTCAGTGCCTTCATTTGTTAAATTAGGCTAAACACAATGCCTAACTTACAGGTTGTTATGAGAATTAAATAAAAATAATCGCATGAAGAGTTTCACCTGGTACCGGCACATGGTAAACATTTGCTGAGTGCCAGCTATTATTTTAACAATAACAAAAAGAATACTTACTTAAACTTATATGCTCCCAGCTCATCTCCCCAGGATCCTAAATTCCCTTCTGGTATCACATTAAACTACCACAGACTGCCTGGATTATTCACCTTAGTTGCCACTAATCTGCATCTATCACAGTATGCTTTAACTTACTAACTAAAGCTTTTATCCAGGAATCATAATCACACAAAAGTGCTGATGTAAAAACTGCTCATAAAAGTGTCATCAAAGGCATCTTCACACCCGACTGTTTAAGGCCTCTGTGAAATTTCTTCCAAAAATTAATTGATACCACAAATACATACCATTCTCTCTCACCTCCTTCTCTTACTCTCTGTTTCTCCCTCCCTTGCTCAACACACAGTGTAGGTATATTCTCTCTTTCTGATGATGAGAACCCTATCACTTACTGCATTTCCTTTTCTGTCCTGGCTGCCAGCAAGTTGAGACCAGGCTACGAGGCTTGCGTTATCTTAGCACACAGAATTCACATACATGTGTCCTTCTCTTTGCCATGGTTCTGATTTATCACTTCTGTATTTAATTTGTTAAAACTCTACTCTACATGAGCTTTATTTCAAAGAAAGGAATACAGAGTAGACACAAGAAAACATGATTTATATTACCTCTGAGAAGACTTTTCTCTGTTATCTTAATGACCCCCACCATCTGCCATATCACCAACAAGCCAACGCCCCTGCCAGTCTACACCTTTTGGGTATCATCTGCTGACACCTGGCCCCTCTCTCAAGACCACCTGAACTCCTTGTAAACGGCTTCTATGGCTACCTAATTCCCATGTGCCTTTTTGCTGTAACTTATTATTTTGAAGTACTTACAGACAAAACATTGCAAAAAAAAAAAAAGTACACAGAGGTCCAAAGTACCCATCACTCAGCTTCCCTCTATGATGATATCTTATATAAAATCAAAATATTGTTTGGTACAGTATAATTAACTGGGCCACAGGCCTTCCTTGGATTTCACCATTGTTTTTGCAAGCATTATGTGCCTTTTTACACCAACTCTCGCACTCCAAACTTATTTAGCATCTGAAGAGCTGATTCTAGAATATTTCCCCTTTTAAGAATTTACATGTACTCAGAGAAGTGACACATATTGCTTCATATTAGTATGAAAATGCTTCATGCTGATGCTGATTGTGTGTCAGTAACTGTTCTAGGTGCTGTACATAAATCATTTAATCCTCACACGAACCCTAGGAGGTTGATAACTTGTTATGAATACCCCAGTTCTACAGACAACAGCAATGAGGTGTGTGGTGATTATACAGCCTGTCCATGGTCATGTAACTAGTAACTGAAGAGGCCAAAATTCACCAGGGCACTCTGACTCTGAGGCCTGAGCTTTTCAGAGCTACTGCTAGCAATCAACAGGTAATCTTTTCGGCCCCTTAGAGACTAGGAAATGCACGGGGCAATTCTGATCATCACAATGACCATGCAGCATTGCTGGCATTTTGTGGATAGGGGTCAGAGATGCTAAATATCTTGCAATACACATACAAAGAGAACTATCTTACCCAATGAGACCAACGCGCCCCACCAAGAACCACTAAGTATTCTAGGGCGCCTGGGTGGCTCAGTCAGTTGAGCGTTCAACTTCAACTCAGGTCATGATCTCACAGCTCATGAGTGTGAGTCCCGCATCGGGCTCTGTGCTGAGAGCCCAGAGCCTGGAGCCTGCTTCGGATTCTGTCTCTCTCTCTCTCTCTCTCTCTCTCTGCCCCTCCCCCGCTCACACTCTGTCTCTCAAAAATAAATAAACGTTAAAAAAACAATTAAGAATCACTATTCTATTCTGTTTCCCTAAACATTAAACACAAAGAGATAAAGACAAATGTGAAACATTACAAAGAAGTAACCACATGTGGGGGCGCCTGGGTGGCTCAGTGTCCAACTCTTGATCCCGGCCCAGGTTATGATGTCACAGTTCAGGAGACTGAGCCCTGCTTCAGGCTCTGCATTGATAACAGAGCCTTACTGCCTGGGATCCTCTCTCCCTCTCTCTCTGCCCCTCGCCGGCTCACACTCTTTCTCTTCCTCTCAAAATAAATAAAACTTAAAAAAAAAAAAAAAAGAAGTAACCACAGGTAAGTGTGAATCAATCACCATGTAAAACAACAAACAAAATTCTATTGTTTTACAGAAACATTAATATAAGCAGCTATGTCCACATAAACTGGCTAATTAGACTTTCAAATACCTTTTAGCTTAGAAAGTTCTTGCTCTTTCTCTTGCTGCAGCTGCAGGTATTTCTGCTTATGGTCATTAAACGTCCTACTGAAGTCTTCTCCTTGCTTGCGATGTTCCTCCTCCAAGTCGCTGTGCTGTTTCTTCAGCTCCTCATGTTGACTCTGCAAAGATGAGAACTTGAGCAGAGATGTGTATTCCCTAAATTATCCCAGAGTCTATAGCCTTTCTCTCTGGAGAAAGAACAGGTGAAGTAGCAGGTTCTGTCTTCCTCAGGTTGCTTTTAATTTGGGCAGTTCCCCTCCATTTCCCTTACATTTCAGATCAGTGGCTTGGGATCATGGCCAAACATAATTTTCTCTTTAATTTTTAACATCGGTAAAACAACAAGAAGTCAGAAGTCAGCAATGGGAGATGGAAAGGGGCGGGGGGAAGGATTTGGGGAAATTCCCAGGGGTTCAAATTGCTGTGGAGACAAGGTAAAGATAATGGAAAAATTATCCCTCCACAGATATTCCAGACTTTCAATCTAATGTTTTCTCAGCAACATTTTTTATTTCCCTTCCTTACTTTTCAGCCTTCCTGGCAACTCAGTTTAAAGAAAAAGGGAAAAAAAAAAGTGATATTTTTCCCTTTGGGGGAAGTAATAAATCTTATTTACCTTACTCCTAGTTATAATACTACACTGTAATCATAATCTAGGTAAATGCTACAATCTCCATATGCTTAATGAAAGGATGGTCTGCTTTAATCCATGCACTGCTTTCTTGATCCAGGAAAGGTTCTGGTTTTGATGAAAAGCACTCACTCTACTGACACAGGAGGAAAGACAATACCAAATAAAAAGCCAGGCGGGGAGGGAGGGAGGTTGAAGGAAGGGGTGGAGACCCTGACATGGTTTTCCTGCTGTGCAGAAGGCTTCATGAGACCCAATCTTCTCTTCTAGCTTCACAGAAATAATGAATCTTCCCCCCCCGCCACCCTCCCTCCCTCCCCCTCTCTGTCTCTCTCTCTCTCTCTCTTTCTTAAGTCGTCTTGACCCACAATAGTTTTACCCAAGAATCAAGGAAGGAAAAGCTTTAAATATAAATTGTGTTCCTGTAACAAGTAAAAGGACACATTAAATATTAGTAACATGAATGAGGCATTTAATTCTACTGCCTCCAATGTGCCTAAGATGAAAGCAAGTATCTACGGTAGACCACTGCGAGAAATTAAACAAACAAAAAGCCTTAAAGGATTAAGAGAAGAACAGAATTAAAAATCAGGTGACCAGACACTGTTTCACCAAAAAAAAAATGTGTAATAAGCTGAATGGTTTTGTGTGTGTGTGTATGTGTGTGTGTTTATAACTGGGTGATGAGATGAGGGGACATTACAATTCTATATCATTTTTAGTGAAAAATGACAATGTGCTGTATTACCACACAAATCAACCTTCCATAAGCTTTCCTTGATCTTGTAAGTTACTTAGTTCTTTCATCCACGCATGAAGAACAACTTTAAATTACTCACTTTCAACATCTGATGTTGCACATTCAACGCACTGTATCTACTATTGGAATCTTGCTGTAAATTGAAAAGAAAATGGTTAACACAGAGATAACGAACCTGTCTCTCTTGCTAAACATGGCTTAAAGCACTTAACAGAACAATTCCATCTATTTCACTTATATAAGCCACAATGAATTCTATGCTCTAACCAGGATTTCTCTGGGGCCGTCTCTTTATTTAACTGCAGGAAGAAGTTTCAATGTTCCTCAAAGTTTGCTACGTTTTAGTAAAGAAACAGTAAGACATGAAGTCATAAAACAGCACCCTGGCAGGCCCCTGGAAAGGATTTACTTCCCTTCCCCTCTCCAGTTGAGAAGAACCGAGGCTCAGACGCACAAGGTCCTTGCCCTGAGACACAGTCACTGTGCATGGCGCGTGGCTGATACACTACGCCAGGTGCTCTGAGGGGATGGGGGGATGAACCAACTTGCACCAGGCCTCACAGTCTCTGCAAGGCTTAAGAAAGGGAAGAGAAAAGGTGCTTTCCTTCCCTGGGCTTCCGCGGGTGAGGAATTCTCCATGTGTCACTTTACCCATTTCACAAGTGAGAAACCGAGAAAGGATAAGGACTCCAAGCTGAGGGCAAACACTTGTTTAGTAGCAGAGCCAGGACTGAAACCTGAGCCCAAGCCATGTTGCAGCAGTGTACAATTTGTGTCCCAGGGGAACATCTTTACACACGGGCCTCACACATTTCCACAGTCCTGGACAGCCACAAGCAGTCAGGGCACAAGATGCCTGACAATTCTCCCTCCCCGTGCTGTTCTATCTGACGTGCTGCACCCCATCTCCGGCACAAGTACACTCCCAGCCATTTCTGGTTTTCTTTTTTTTTTTTTTTTTTTTTTTTTTTTTTACAATTTCCAAAATGAACTGCATTTTTCCTCTATCACTTCATTGCTTTATTTCATAATGCAGTTTCTTTGTAAAGTCAAAGAGTAAACTTTATTGCTTTATTTTATTGCTTCATTTCATAACGTACTTTCTTTGTAAAGTTAAAGTTTACTCTATTGCTTTGTTTCATAACGAACTTTCTTTGTAAAGTAAGAGTAACTCTTTTGAAATGCACAACAGAAAGTACGCAATCTTAGCTGGGCCTTTTAAAAGGCCTGTTGAAAGCTGACAGCCTCCTGACTCTTGTCAGTTTTAGTACCCCCAGAATGCTGATGTTTCATTCAACTAATGTTATATGTTTTTCTTAGAGTAAGAGAAAAGCTTGCTTTTCTCCAGTGAATTTGTACTAAAAAAAAAAATTTTTAAATGCCACTATCATTCCTTCCTTCCTTCCTTCCACAAATGTATTTGAATGCTGACCCTAGGCCAGATGTTACACAGTAACATCTGTGCAAGTTACAGTAACACTGTACAAAGGCAAAGCAAAATATACATCACATATATATTCTCTTAGAAAAAGACTACAAATGAACAAATGAATGAATAATCTTTTATTTATTGTTGAACATTAAGGCTACTCCCACTTTATCAAAAATATATTTATATGTTTATATAAATATATATATTTACATTTAAATATATATATACTATATGTATATATATACGTAGATATATATTTCAGCCTTCCTGTCCTACTGATCAACACTGTAAAAGATTTTGTTGCTATATTTCCCTCTCCTTAAGTTTCATAAAATAATTAAGAAAAAAACCCAAAACATACCCTTCCTTTATTTAGTGTTTCTTGTGCTTCTAATTTATAAACAAGAAAATCTAGAAAATAAAAAATGGAGAAAATAGGGTGTAAGTTAATTCATTATGGAATTTTTAAACACAGGCAAACTTTACTCAGACTTGTGAAAAATATTTTAGGTTTAAAAACAATCATGCTTAGTAACGCAGTTTATTTTGCCTCTTAATGCTTTAGAGAGAATTGAAAATAACTATCATATAATTTTCATCATTATTTTAATGCTATATATCTTGAATAAACAAAATATACAGGATAACCAATTAATTAGAAGTGATCTTAGATTGTGCATTCTGCGATGAGCTCTCCTTGAAATTAAGAAGAAAGAAAAAAATGAGGCACACCTAAAGACAAGAGATGATTTATTGCTATCCACTAGATGGCATGCTAAAACCATTCAGGACTTGAAAAGAGAAATCAAGCCTCGGAAACCACCTTTTATGCTCTTAAAGCTTTATTATCCACTAGATGGCTCTATAAAATCACTCTGCATTTAAAGACAAGGAGAATCCAAATCCTATCAAAGCAGTTTAATGATGTTAAACTTGCATTCTTCCAACAGGCTTAATCCAAGGGTCAGTAAAACATCCTACCCCGTACTGCCCTCCCATTTTCCCTCCCTGTACTCCATACCAACATAATCAGACAGAATACCTAACTTATATTTCCTCATAAGATTTCACAAAACATAAGGAAACAAATAAAAAGAAGAATGGGGATAAATTCAAACCACAAGCTGTATAAAGCCTGTTTTCTAGAAAAATTCTGATAAAAATCAATAGCATTGCCTAATGCCTATCCTAAATGCTAATTTCTCAAATTGAACCCATCAGCTGTGCCAATAAAAGCCTAAAATAATGGGGCGCCTGGGTGGCGCAGTCGGTTAAGCGTCCGACTTCAGCCAGGTCACGATCTCGCGGTCCGGGAGTTCGAGCCCCGCGTCAGGCTCTGGGCTGATGGCTCAGAGCCTGGAGCCTGTTTCCGATTCTGTGTCTCCCTCTCTCTCTGCCCCTCCCCCGTTCATGCTCTGTCTCTCTCTGTCCCAAAAATAAATAAACGTTGAAAAAAAAAAATTTAAAAAAAAGCCTAAAATAAAATATGTGCATAACATAGAAGACACCACACACAAAGAGACATCATGCAATGAGATCAATTTATTATGTTATAAATGTATGTATATGTCTAAATGTATGCATGTATGTGTATACGAATGTATAAAATTTGTCATATTCTGGACAACACAAGCTGTTACTCCTTGTACATCTATGGACAGAAGTTTCTGGTATAAGTAACATATGTGTAATAGTCACATGAAAAGCTGTTTATTTCTGATGTATAACTAATAATATGAACTACCTCAAGGTGGCATAAACTGAATGAAAGATTCTGAACCTAATCTTAAGCAGAAATTATTGAACTGCACAATGCATTACATATTGCTTGACTTTCTCAGTCTACCCATAAAACTGACTTAGGGTTTAGCTGAGAAATTTCTTAGCAAAAAGATAGTAAAGCAAGTACATGATATGTCAACGAGGAGTTTGATAAAAATACAGAACAGAAATTGCATTTTATATTTACCTTCCTTTGCTTTCTTATGTTCAAGTCTTTCCTTTTGCAAGGATTTCTCTAATCTTGATCTGTGTTCATACACAACTGAAAAAAAAAGTTAAAATTTATCTGCAAAGAATTAGAACTTCTAAAGTAAAATTAACATCAATTTTCAAAATGGGGGGGGCGGGAAACAATTTAAGGTCTTCACAATTAACATAAAAATGACTGCATTTATAAATTCCACATTCTGGGTAAAAAAGACACAATAATACACATAATTCTGAGCTGACTTCTGCACAGCCTGCCCCTTTATAGAAACAATACTCTGAGAGAGGCTTCTATCCACCTTCTTTGCCAGCTCCTTCTCCTGCTTCTCAAATACGAGAATCTCTGAGGTTCCATGTCTCTTGCAGGGCAGAGGTGTCCACTCTCCTGACTTTCACCACCATTTGCACAGCTGTTAGCCCCACATGTATATTTCTAGCTCCTGCCTCTCTCTTAGGTATTAGCACAGCATCTTCCAAAGACTTCAGGTTTCTCCACCTACATATCCCATAAATACTGGCAAGTCCACGTGATCTGAATGTGAGCTAAGGCTGTCCAGACCAGTAAGGAAACCTCAGCACCCCACTGGCCTAAAAGAGAAGGCGTATTCCCCCACAGCAAGGAAAACACAGGGGAGAGTCATAGAAATGAAGGGGGCAGGGACTCTAAACAGAACCTATAAACGTCAGGTTTACATCTGCCATGGGGTTTCCCCAATGGCAAACCAATGCCATGCTGTAAGACTTTCCTGTGCTTGATTATCCCTACCTACCCAGTCTTCTCTGAAGCAGCCAGCATTGCCTGGTGAGTAGAGAGGAAGAACAGATGTGGTAGGGGAAAAGAGGAAGAGAGGCCCATCAGGACTCTCTCTTTCCCACCTCAGTCTTCACTTCTACATCAAATGGGAAGAATGGGAGGAGCTTTACCTTTGAATGAATAAGATGATAAAGTCGATATTTTATTTATACAATAAAATGTATGCAGATGGACTAGACCAGACATAATACTTAGTAGACCAAGACTGTGTTTCCGGCTAAAAGTTACTTAAAAAAAATTTTTTTTTTTCTTTTAATCTGAGAGAAGTTGGGAAGTATCCAAGTTTCAGATTTCCTTCTGGGACAGAAAGCCCAGCCTCGCAGAGTGGTTTGTACAGGCAAAGAAGGGGGGAAAGGGCAAAACCTGAATTTCTGACATACACTTTGCATCCTATTTGTGCAGCATTATGGTCCCATGTGATCTCATTCCTTGCCAAGGAAAGCCAAACCTGTTATTTGGTTCCCGTGCCAGTCCCTAGCTTCCCTTGGCTGCCTAAGATACAATTTCACCATCAATCACGGACTCACCACGTACAGTGCATACAACTGCCCGACACTATTGGACACATCCAAAAGGGCTGCGGTCACAGCAACTCCCCTCCCCCACACCTGACATAATAACCCCTTGCGCTTGAAGTGAATGCCCTGTCCCTCCCGCCCTTTCCCCAGTGTCACAGCTGCCAGTTGGCAGCTCTTGCTGTCCTCCCTCCAACTTGCCCATCGCCTCCTGGGTCCGCCACCGCCTCCCCACACTGCATCTCTCATCTTGTCATCCCATATAAACCTTCCACTTCCAAGGAAGTTTCTCTCCCTCTGCAACTACCACAGCCCCGACCTCTACTCACACGTCTGCTGCCATCTCTGTGCACTGCTCCTAGAATTCCTGCCACCATCCAAACTGGCATCACGTCATGCCCTGGCAGCGTGTATGCCCCAATCTCAACTTGCCCCTCAGCCTCAGCCTCACACAAGTCATAGCAACCATCCCTGCTCCAGTCTTTTCCTCTGCCTGGAGTTCTATTCCCTGCCAGATGACCCTTCCTCGCCCACCCCAGTGCTATTCTTATAAAGGAATCCAATACAGCTCTGCATCCATGGAGTCCCTACCATGTAACTGGAACCACATCATGAGTAGAAATGAAAAATGAATAGATAGACATAGGCCTGGCTACAAGCAGCTCAAGTCTAACACAGTACACAGGTTAGGTAATTTTTAAATAATTAGAGCTACAGGTCATGATCTCGTGGTTCGTGAGTTTGAGCCCTGCCTCAGGCTCTGTGCTGACAGCTCGGAGCCTGGAGCCTGCTTCGGATTCTGTGTCTCCCTCTCTCTCTGCCCCTTCCCCTGCTCACACTCTTTTTCGCTCGCTCAAAAATAAATAAATAAATAAAAATTTAAAAACGGAGCTAAATACATTTAGCGCAATAAAAATATATTGAAGCCCAAGGAAAGACAAGGATGAGCTCTGGATGCGAGAAAGGTAAGAGAAGACTTCTCAGAGGTGAGAAGAGGTGATCTCTTGGCTGGCTTTGAGAATGAAGAGCAGTTTGACAGAAAAGGACCCCGAGGGAGAAAGGCACTTCTGGAAGACATCACAGGGACAAAAGCACAGGGGCATGAACTTGGGGTAAAGGAAGCTGTACTCCAAAAAGCCTGGTTGCAGGACACCTGGGTAGCTCGGTCAGTTAAATGTCTCACTCTTGACCTTGGACCAGGTCACAATCTCAGGGTTTGTGAGACTGAGCTGCACATCAGGCTCTGCACTGACAGCATGGAACCTACTTGAGAGTCCTTCTCTACCCCTCTCTGCCCCTCCCCCATTTGCATGTACACATACTCTCTCTCTCTCTCAAAGATAAATAAAAATAACTTTAAAAAAATCTTGGGACACCTGGGTGGCTCAGTCAGTTAACCATCTGACTACTGATTTCAGCTCAGGTCACAATCTCACACACGGTTTGTGAGTTCGAGCCCCGCACTGGGCTCTGTGCTGATAGTGTGGAGACTGCTTGAGATTCTCTCTCTCCCTCTCTCTCTCTCTGCCCCTCCCCTGTTTTCTCTCTCTCTCTCTCTCTCTCTCTCTCTCTCTCTCTCAAAATAAATAATCTTAAAAAAAAAAAAAAGCTTGGCTACAAGTCCACTATTGAGAAATTACATTTTTTTTTTCAAACAAATCTGTATGGTATATAAGTCCCTCTGCCAGCTTCTAAAAAGCCTATTGAAACCAAGAAGTTTCTTGGATTGGTACCAACAGTATCATGTGGAATGATGTTTAGAACAAGGCAGGAGAAAAAAAGGTTAGCACTATAGGACCTCACTAAGCCAAGCCCTAAATAAACTGCATGCTCAGTCAGGTGGGAAAAACTTACAGGGACGCAGGTACATTACAATGCTATCACGATATCACAGAGGCAAAAACAGGATGCCACAGGAACACCTAAGCTCCCCGGCTGGAAGGAAGTGCACTCCTTTCCTCTAACCCACCGGCCAAAGTTCCCAGGTCCTGGGTAGAGAGAGTCACAGGAACACACACATGCCAGTTAAAACGGAATTTTGGTGTACTAACTGGACATATTATAGATGATTTCAGCAAGTATGTATGTCACTTGCAAAGAAAGGAACAGGAAAAGCAGTCAAGATCTTGTTCCAGTGAAACTTAAGTGGCAGCAGGGGTGAGTGGGAGGTCCTGGGTATAGGGGGCTCCTGAGGAGGTCGGGACTAGTAGAGGCGAACAATTCCAGCCTAGAAACACCCATGATCTTAAGAGACAGAGCAGCACAGTAAACAAGACACAGGAGAGGGCTGCTCACCACCTATCTCCGGCTCTCAGACTCCATATACTAAACATTATTATGGAAGGGTAATGATAGAGGAGGAAGCTGCATTTACAACTTATAATCCTGTGAAATTCTTTACTTCATATATAGCAGCAATCACCATAAACTTACTCTTGCAAACTCAGTCTTATACGGGACTTGGTAATTGGGTAATGATTGTCTTTGCACTGGGAAGCAGAAAACTCATCAGCATTATTTCATCTTCAGTAAGAGTGGAGGGTCCACTACATTATACCAAGTAGACAGGGAGTGTAGGGGATGGGATGAGAGGGTGGGAGACAATGCTCTATTCTTTAGTCTCTTCTCTGCAATGCAATCAGGAAGATAACGTGCCAACAGCCAGTCCGAAGTACCCATTTATCATACTGAATCACACAACTGTCTTTGACAGTTTTACGCTCAACATATTAATAGCAATGTTGTCTCAAGAGCCAGAAAATCTGAGGATACACAGTTATAAACTTTCATAAATAACCTCAACAGATGCTACGAAATGTCTACAAAGAGCCCAGCATGTTTGTGGATTCCAATCAAAAGTCAAAGGTCTTCAGAAATCTGAGATGTACATGAATGAATAAAATGGCATCACTATTAGCAAGATCTAAGGCATAAAGAATGTGGTTTTGCAAATGCAGTAAAAAAAAAAAAAGATGTGGTAAATAAGGATAGAGAATATATGTACAAACCATGAGGTAATTGTACTATTAATATTATCTTACTCAGAACTGGTCAAGCCATTATTATAGCACCAGTTTCTGGTCCTGACGTAAAATAACTTAAGAATGCAGAAATGGTTTAAGCGTTGGAGAATATCAACAAGGAGGAGGTGAGAGAAGGGAGCAGCAGTGACTGATAGGGGCTGGAGAAGTGCTGTTTCTTAATCAAGTTCAAAGAAAAAGGAAAACAAAGCCAAGAGGCGTCTTAAACTGTATGCTGAGGAAACCACATTATGTAAGGGAAAATGAGAATGAAAATTAACCCTTGAAACTGCAAATTCTAGAAAGAAAGGGAGAGGGAAAGAAGCAGATGGTAATGTGATGGTTGAGAGCACAGACTCCGGTGTCTAGATTCAAATCCCAGATCTATTCCTTACGAGGCAAGTGGCTGAACTTTGTACTTCAGTTACCCTCACACGGTGTATGGGAATAATGATATCACCGATCTCTTTTGGGTGAATGTCAGGGTTAAAGAAGCTAAATTGTGTCAAGTGCTTAGTTAAATTGTGTCAAGTGCTTAGAACACTGCCCGGCACAGAGTAAAAGCTAGAAAATTTCAAAATATTTTTTCACCTATCTGTGATGGCTTAAAATTGCCAAAGAATCAGATGATTCCCTGAGCCCTTTCAACCCTACAATTAAAGTCTAGTAATGTGAAGTACTTACACACACACACACACACACACAC